TGTTTCAAGCTACACAGGAAGAAATGACACCAAAAATCCATGCCTTCACGCATGGGGGACTTTATCTCGATCCCTAATTAGAGATAAGTCTGCATCTAACACATGCTGCCGGGTAGCCTATTCCCGCAATAATAGCAAAGCCTACGTATTCAATATCGTAGCAGGTCGTTATTAATAACGCCAAAATCCATGCCTTACACGCATGGGGAATTTTATCCTGAATCCTAAGTAGGGATAAGTCAATGTCTAACACACGTTGCCGGTTAGTCTTTTACCGTGAAAAGGACATCAAAATCCATGCCTCACACGCATGGGGGACTTTATCTCGATCCCTAATTAGAGATAAGCCTACGCCTAACACGCGTTGCCGGTTAGTCTTTTACCGTGAAAAGGACATCAAAATCCATGCCTCACACGCATGGGGGACTTTATCTCGATCCCTAATTAGAGATAAGCCTACGCCTAACACGCGTTGCCGGTTAGTCTTTTCCCGTCAAAATGACAAAGTCTATGTATTCAAAATCATAGCATCAAGACTAAGAGAGTTCATTCTCTTAGCACAACGTTACATGTGGAACGGACTTAGACAATCCACATGCTAGCCCGACTCAAACGGTAGTCGGTAAAGGCTTATCAAATCCGTTGATGGCTGAGGGTTTGCCAAAAATCCTACGCACGTATGCAAGCCCATCAGCTGAATGGATGTGAGTCGAGACTTAAAACAGATGCGCCAAAGACAAGTCTCAAAGACTTAGTCAAAAATGCACGGAAGCCGCTCCCATGTTTTAAGTCAAAACGTTGAGGTCAGACCCGCGATGCAAAAACCGAACGCCGAGGTCACACCCGTATTCCAAATTCAACATGCAAGGGTGAAACCCGCATCTCAAGTTCAAAATGCAGGGTCCACCCCCACATTCCAGAAGCAGGATTATGGCACATACCTTCACACAGGTCCTGCATGGAAAATCCGTTCAACCAAGCTGCTTTCGAAGCGAGTGCAGAGAACAACTCCTTTGTGACAAGGAATCAACAGCTCCAAGATCAGAGTTGAGATCCAAAGTATTCCGAAAATTCGTCCCAGTCAACCGCGAACTTTCGAAAACTTTGGAGGGGGTTCTGTAGGCTGTCTAAAAATCACAATAGATAGTTGATCCCCCCATCAAACACCGATGATGGAAGTTACAATGTGACGAGTTCCAGAAGGCTACAATTTAAGGACTTTCATGTAGAAGGTTACAATCTGACGACCTTCACAACAACTAATGAAGGCCCCAATTCAACAGCATTCACAATCAACATCGGGAGTTACAATCTGACGACTCTCATATTTTCAAGGAGCCAAGACGAAGGTTACAAGGTGACGATCTTTGCAACGCTCTAGCAAAAGAGACTACAAATTGACGGTCTCTTCATATTAAAACGCATATATCTCTCAAACCGTAAGGAATTTGGCAAAACGGAGGAAGCGAACCGAAGCCTTCGGCTTGGTTCGGATGGCCCCGTCTCGTCGTCTAATTCCGATTTTCATATATAATTCGTCCAACTCCGACTTACGGTTTGAAAGTTATGACCTGTTCTTCGCAGCAAGTTATGTTCTGAAGTCCGTATGCAAGACCGGACTTCGTCAGAACATTGGATTTAGCCTGAAGCTCGCCAAGCCCGCCTAAGGTTCGCCTCTGCATTACAGAGTCAAAACGCACAGGTGGAACCAGCGTTATAACCACAAAACGCAGAGGTCGTGGCTGCGTTCCAAACTCAAAACGCAGAGGTTGTGGACTTAAAACGCAGAGTTTAACTCTGCGTCCAACAACAAAAACGCACAGCATAACTCTGCGTCCCAGATCCAGAGACGCACAGTTAATGTAGAGTTCAACTCTGCGTCCCAAGTCCAGAGACGCACAGTTAATGCAAAACCTAACTCTGCGTCCAACAACAAAAACGCACAGTTCATCTATGCACAGTGCGACTTGTGCGTTTTCAGCCTAAAACATCCCAACTCTGCGTCTCAGCGTTCATCACGCTGCGCGGCCTGTGCGTTCAGCCACCAAAATAGGCCCAACTCTGCGTTTTTAGTCTAAAAACGCAGAGTTCGGGCCCTGAACGCTATTTTTCAGCGTTTGACTCGTTCAAAGCACAAAATGAACGGTTCCAGGAACTGTTTTTCCCCCACGATTTGAGGGATTTTCGCCCCACTTAAGAGCGGATTAAGGGGGTAGTTACCACCCTTAATCCCCTATAAATACCAGAAACTCAATTGAGTTAAAGGATCGAATTTTTTCTCATCAAAAAAGGGAGATTCGGTCAAAAGGCTGGCATATTTTGGATCTGGGACTTGGCAGCTCCAGAGGAGATCCTTAGAGCATTTTCTGGATCTCGGGAGATCTGTAACAAGAGCTTATTCATCATTGGCTTATAACCGACTTTCGGTTCAAATCAACTCTTTTTCAAGAGTTCAAACTCGTCCAGAGTTATCAACTCGATCAGAGTTCAAAACTTGCTCTGCAAGTTCTTCTAAAACTCGTTCAGAGTTATCAACTCGTTAAGAGTTATTTTCAAACTTGCTTTGCAAGCTCTCCACAGCGTTAAATCGTGAGGAGAAGACCACGTTCCAGTGAATCAAGACGTTCGGATCGTCAACGAGAAGCAAACTCGACGCGAGCATTCGAGGGAGGCATCCCATCGCCACCGTGAAGAACCCTTAAACAAAGGGGAGAATCAAACTCATTCTCCTCTCTTTTGTAATCGGAATCCAAATTGTAATTGATTTTGAGAGGAATACAAGTCAATTTTTCTTTCATTGTCTTTTTACTGTAAATTTCCAACAAACAAGGACTCATAGTAGGAGGACTCATTTTAGGACCAGGAGAAATGTTTTGCTCTTCATAATCAGATCCGGAAGCCATTTGATGAAAGGATTAGAATGTATAAATAAGAGAGTATAAGAGTATAAGAGAGAGTATAGGAGTATAAGAGAGAAGAGATGAGTTTTTGGTGTGAAGAAAACAAATAAAAACCCCCCTCTATTTATAGAACCAGCCCCCTAGGCAAATGACCAAAACAACCTCACAAAATAGCCGTTTTTGACCGTTTTTGGGGGGCAAAACGGTCAAAAGGCAAATCTGACGTTCTGGGCCGGGCCCGGGCCGGGAGCCGCTGAGGCAACCCGGACCCGGGCCTGGAACCCGGCCTGGCCCGGATTTCCGGGCCGAGGCCGGGCCGGGCCCGGGCCAGCGGGTAAAATGGACAGCCCTACCCTTAGTTTTATAATCTACACCATCTTCATCAAGCTTTACTTTGATCAGGACGGTTTGCTAATCGAAAAGGGATGTAAGTTCTTTCTTATTTTTTATGCTTAAACTATGTTTGTTGATTTTTTTCAAACTTGTTTTTTTGGCATACTCAAGCCGGTGTTAATTGAGGGTTAGGGCTAGCTAGAGCTAGGTGTTACTCATTGTGGAGAGTTAGATTAGATGACTGGTTTGGGGTGAATCACAGGTCGTGGTCTTTGTAAATCTATTGCATCAGGTTGTGATTCAGAAAAACTCTTAGCAGTGATGAAGTCCCTTCATGAGAAGAAAGTGTGGATGTTGAATTGTTATTTGAACTACTATAAAATCTTGTATGTCATTGGTTCGGTTTTTTTACTTTTATTTTATCTTCTCTGCTGCATATTTTATATTTTTAGCAAAAATTTGTAGCAACCCTATTCACCCCTCCTAAGCTTGCAACTCGGATCCAACAAGTAGTATCAGATCCTTGCTTGTCATCTTTAGGATTCACAACCTAGGCTAGAGATGTCTAGTACCGCCATTACGGTTTTTCGTGAGGGATACGCTGTGAACCAACCCTCACTTCTTAATGGAACAAAATACACCTATAGGAAAGTGCGTATGGGAGACTTTATTGTCCACAAATTTTGATGTTTAGTATAGTATAGAGAACAGTTATAGTGAACATGTTGTCGTTGTAAAAAAGGTTAATGTTATCACTCCAATAGACAAGTGCACACCCTCTAATGAAAAGTTTTATTCTTTAAATACAAAAGCTATAATTTTTTGTTATTCTTTAATTGCTAAAGAATTTAACTGTGTGTCAAATTGTTCCACTGGGCAGGAAATTTGGAAATTTTTGGAAGTTACACATGAGGAAACTTCACAGGTGAAAATGCGAAACTTACGATACTTGTTAGAAAGTATGAAAATTTCAAGATGAAGGTCCCGGAGTGTATTCATGATATGTTCAGCTGATTCACGGACATTATGAACATATCGAAAGCTTTGGAAAAAGAGTACCACAACAAAAGCTTTGTAGAAAAAAAATCTTCATTCTCTTTCTACCGATTGGAAACCGAAGGCAACGGCTATTGAAGAATTATATTTTTTTTTTCTAATTTAACTCTTGAAGATCTTGTAGGTAATCTTCTCGCGTATGAAATTCAATTGAGAGAGAGAGAGAGAGAGAGAGAGAGAGAGAGAGAGAGAGAGGGGGGTATTCAATTGAGAGAGAGAGAGAGAGAGAGAGAGAGAGAGAGAGAGAGAGAGGAGGTTCTTTCGAAATGATTCAAAGAAGAAGTCGTTAGCCCTGAAGGCTAAGAAGGAAAAATTCTCAACCCAAGAAGAACAAAGAATCAAGTTCATACTCTTATGGAGCGAGTGAGATGGGATTGGTAGCGAAAGAATTCAAATCTTTTTTAAAGACAAAATATCAGCAAACATTTATGCACAATAAATAGAATCAGAATTACACCAAGGTGAGGAAAAATAAATATGAAAATTCAGATTCTGATACTATTTGTTGTCATTGTAGGAAATTCAAAAATAATGAATGTGCTCTTAATAAAAGTGACTATACAAGGAAGAATAAGAGCTTCATGGCAACGCAGAGGGATTTCTCAAGTGATGATGAAGAAGCAGAAAATTACTTACCCAAAAATTCAGTACGCTCAAAGATCTACATACAACTCAATACAGCTGCGGCTTCCTCTTCCAAACGCAAGTGCATAAACAAAATCGTGACAGCACGTGTTCATAACATACATATGAAAAAGAACTATCAAAGAAAAATTTATGTCCCTTAAAACTTTCCATAATTACAGTGTAAACTTTGTGGTGTAATAAGTTTTACACAGGTAAAGATGAACAGCTCGAATTTAACAAGAACGAGAAGGAAAGGGAAACGGTGGCAATTAAGAGTGAAACGAAGCAGTACCGTTAATAGATATCGCTTCTTTGCTGGCTCTCACAATGCCTACACCCTTCAATCCTTCGCAAACTCTCGAGATGGACTGAACAAACCACGAGGCAAAACAACTCTATTACCAGCCAACATTTGATCCCTTAACTTTTTAACTGATATATATCTCTCAGTATGTTGATCCAACTTCTCAACATATCCTTTATTATTCTCCATGTTCAGCTCAATACAGTGCGAGTCTCTCTCACTCTCGAGCTCTCTAACTCCCTTGGCTAACTCCAATCCGAGGCTTTTGTTGAGTCTTTCTGCTCTCCTTCTTGATTTCTTCTCTGATTCGAGCTGCTCTATGAAGGTCTTGATTCTTTCTTGCTCTTTGATTTTCCATGACGATTTCTCTTGCTTGAATTGTTTTTTGAGGCAGCTGATTTCGTTTTGGTTCACTTTTTGTTCTTGGATGAGATGTTCTACTTGAGATCGGGCTTGATCAAGTTCAGCATGAAGGGCAGAGAATAGAGAGAGGGCGTACGAGTGATGGTCTTCTAGTCCCCAGATTCTGTCGAGGAGCTTGAGAAGCTCTTTGGAAGATGTCAGAATGTTTTTGAGGTTTTTTAACCCGGTTTTTGTTCCCATGGTCGAGCGTTTGGGAGTGAGTCCCCGAGAATGTGCATCAGCCTGCAATAGAATAAGTGGACGAAGGAGAGGAAAAATAAGCTATTGGAAGTTTCTACCTCTACCATAACATTAACAAGTTATGATGTACTATAAGATGCAATAAACTAGCACAGACGCATTGCCTTGTTTGTATCTTTTTCTTGTTGCATGGTTGAACATGATTATGAGTGCAAATATTGTCAAGATATCAAACTCATTATCAATATCTGATAAGGAATCCGGACTTAAATCAGATATTTTACTTGGTCATATTGGACATGAATGAAGTTTAGGGGGAAGAAAAGGAGTTGAAGTTCAATTTTTAGTGGATGTTAAAGTAAGAGAGAGAGAGAGAATCTTAGGTAAATTTCCCTTGAATTGAATATTGAGTGTGCACATATATTTATACAAGTAGAGGAGTGTGAGGTTTGTTCTCCCAAGCAATGTGGGACTAAAACCCACTACAATACACTATTATCAACAGCCCCCTTCAAACTCATGTTGGATCAAACAAAGTGAGTTTGCGTACAAGAAACTGGAACCGATGAACAGGTAAGGCCTTTGTGAAGAAATCTGCAAGCTCGTCAGCGGATGAAACATGAGGAAGTAGAATTGTCTTGTCCTTGATAACTTGGTGACGGACAAAATGAGCGTCGATCTCAATATGTTTGGTCCTTTCATGAAATACTGGATTATTAGCAATCTGGATGGCACTCTTATTATCACAGTAGAGAGGAGTAGGAGTCGTAACAGAAATACCGAAATCACTGAGAAGGCGACGAAGATGAATAATCTCTTTAGCTGTTGTGGACATTGCACGATACTCTGCCTCAGTACTGGAAAGAGCAATAACATCTTGTTTCTTACTTCGCCAGGAAATAAGGGAATCACCAAGAAATATACAATAACCTGTGGTAGACTTTCTGGTAGTTGGATCACCAGCCCAATCAGCATCAGAATATGCACAAAGCTCTAACTTAGATGTAGCAGGAAACAAAAGTGAGCGAGTGCTAGTACCCCGGAGGTACCGAAGAATCCGTAATAAGACAGCATAGTGTACAGAACGTGGGGCACTAACAAATTGACTGACAATACCAACAGCATGAGAGATATCTGGTCGAGAGATGCACAAATAGACCAACTGACCAACAAGATGTCGATATCGGGTAGGATCAGATAGAGGCTCACCGTCAGTAGAGCAAAGTTTGACATTCTGCTGGAGTGGAGTATCGACAGTTGTATTATCAGTTAACTCAGCTTGATTTAGAATATCTGAGAGATACTTCTGTTGAGACAGTAATACACCCCGCGGGCCTTGAGAAATTTCTAGACCAAGGAAATACCGAAGAGATCCAAGATCCTTCATGTGGAACTGTTGTTGCAACTGAGATTTTGCGTATTGTATACCTGTCATATCATCACCTGTAATGATCATATCATCTACATAGATGAGTAATAAAACCCTGCCACGCGATGTAGTGCGAACAAACAGAGAAGCATCTTGATGACTTTCTATAAAGCCCGCTTTGAGCACAACATCGCGAAAACACTCAAACCAAGCGCGGGGTGCCTGTTTGAGACCATAAACAGCACGACGAAGGAGACATACATGTCCCGGAGGAATATTTGACCCTGGAGGCGGTTGCATATATACGGTCTCTGATAAAGAGCCATGAAGAAAAGCATTTTTGACATCCATCTGGTATAAGGGCCAACGATGAGCAGCAGCGACCGCAAGGAGAGTACGCACAGTGGGCATCTGAGCAACAGGAGCAAAGGTCTCCTCATAATCAATACCTTGTTGCTGAGTAAAACCTCTAGCCACTAAACGAGCTTTTCGACGTTCAATGGTGCCATCAGGACGAAACTTGACCTTATAAACCCATTTACTGCCAACAAGAGAGATCCCAGGAGGACAGGGAACAATATCCCAGGTATGAGTTTGCTGAAATGCTTGAAATTCCTCAGCCATAGCTTGTCGCCACTCTGGAATTTGAACTGCCTCTTGGAAGGACTTTGGCTCAACAATAGTATGAATGGCAGCAAGAAAGTTATGAAAGATAGGTGAATAAGAAGTAACAGAAGCATACCGGGCAGGCATGACATGTGGGCGTTTGCCTCGACGAAGAGCAAGAGGAACCTCAGGCGGGGGAGATGCTGGCGCAGGTGCATGAAGATCAACAGTATTTTCTGGAGTGAGAGTTGTGTCCACAGGATATGGATTAGATGGTGTAAGAGAAGACTCAGGTGAGGAAGAGTCAACAGAAGGAGAGGGAGAGATGTCAGGGAGATCTCGAAAGGAAAATTGAGGTGAAGAAGTGGGTGATGCAGTGGACGGGGAAGCATGATCGGTAGAGTGGAGGAAATTAAAGTCATCAGAAGTAGAATAATATGGAGAATCCTCTTCGAACTGAACATGACGAGATATATGAACTCGACGAGTTGCGGGATCATAACAACGATAACCTCGATGTTCTGAACTAATTCCTAAATAAACACAAGAAACTGCTCTGGGAGACAATTTATCACGTTCGTGAGATGGCAGAAAAACAAAACATCGACAACCAAAAACGCGAACTAGATCATAACGGGGAGGATGAGTATAAACACGACTATAAGGAGTAGCACCGGAAAGAGAGCTAGATGGAGTGATATTAATGGCATGAGTCGCGGTGAGAATAGCCTCAGCCCAGAAACGACGAGGAACAGAGTAAGAAATGAGCATTGATCGGGCAGTATCGAGGATATGACGATGTTTGCGTTCAGCAACACCATTTTGCTCATGAGTGTAGGGACATGACTGTTGAAAGATAGTCCCATGAGAGGACATGATAGAGCGCATGGCAGAGGATAGGTACTCTTTGGCACAATCAGAACGAAAAACTTTAATACGAGATTGCCATTGAGTGAAAATCATAGCAGTGAAGGCTTGATAAGCAGTAAGTACGTCAGAGCGATTCTTAAGTAGGTAAACCCATGTAAAACGAGAGAAATCGTCGATAAAACTAACATAATATAAGTAGCCAGATGAAGAAGGCAAAGGAGCTGGCCCCCAAATATCAGAATGTACTAAATCAAATAAGGAAGTGGATACAGATGTACTCATTTTAAATGGTAAAGCAGTGAATTTAGCCAATTTGCAACCAGCACATGACTCAATACTAGAACTAGATGATACAGGACCAAGTACTCCAGACTGAATAAGACTCTCCAGCCTTTTATTACACACATGACCAAGTCGTCTATGCCATAAATTGGCAGGAAGCGAGGTAGAGGGTTTTGACGAACAAAGAGAAGCAACAAGAGAACGTGGACGTATGGACTCTGGAAGGTGAAGATATTCCAGAAAATACAGTTTGTGCCTCCTACGACCCGCCCCAACCGTCTTGCCCGTCTGTGGATCCTGCACAATACAAGTATCAGAAGAAAATGAGACAAACAGGCCCGCCATGCATAAAGAGCTAATAGAAATTAAATTCAAGCACAATTGTGGAGCCACATAGACGGGACCAAGTGTTAGACGACCAGATGGATCATTTTGTGGGGTAATAGAGCCATACTGAGTAATGGACAATGGTTGTCCAGCAGCTGTGTAGATAGGAGGAAGAGAGGATGAAGTAAAGACAGAGGATAAAAGTGAGGCATTACAAGTCATATGAAAGGAACAACCAGAGTCAAAAATCCAGAGATCATTCATACCAGAGACTGAAGGATTAGCTGAAGAACCAGCAAAATGCATACCAGAGAGTTGTGCGGCGGATGTAGAGGTGATATGTTGAAAAGCATCAAGTTGACGGCGAAGACTTTCAATAGCTTGAATAGTAGAGTCTGAAGTAGTAGAAGGTATAGCATTGGCCAACAATCCTGGTGTACGAGAGGGTTGAGACTGAGGGGGTCGCCGACCACGTCCAGTACCTGAGGAACGTAACTCAGGATGAAGCTTGAAGCATGTCTCAATGCGGTGTCCTTCCTTCTTACAATATTTGCAAGAGAGCTTAGATCGAGCCTGTGGAGAGGGAGCCTGTGGAGAAGTATAATTCATAACAGGAGCAGTGACAGGTACAGACAAAACAGTCTCGAGTGAAGAGGTAGGAGTGTCTGTTGACAAATTGAGTCGTGCTGTCTGCTGCCGGGTCTCATAAGCAGTGAGAGCTCCCATAACTGAGGCCAAAGTCGGAAATTGAGGCTGGTGAAGTAGTTGATCAGCCATAGTTGAATATTCAGGAAGGGACTGAAACAATTGATGCACCTCATGCCGTTCGTACCAGGCTAGCCAGTCTTCATATGTGGAATTACGTCCAGGAAGCATGGAGCGTAACTCTGTCCAAAAAGCTTGCATTTGTCCAAAATGGGACTGCAGAGATGAACTACCTTTGCGTTGTAGAGAAATGCGTTGCAGAAGATATGCCTCCCGTGCACCCGAGCACTCAGTGAAACGCTCAGTGAGACGAGTCCACATGGCCTGAGCAGAGGGAAGCGAGCCAATCTCGACAGTGAGACCAGAGCCAACACAGCGAGTGAGATAATCCATAACACGAAATTCCTGCAATTGCCACTCTGAACTCTCCTTGACATAGAGAGCACGAGCAGTCTGAAGATCGACATCACCACTGCCAGAGGCAATAGTACTGGATGAAGCAACAGTGCTGATGGACGGTGGAACTGGTCCCGTACTGGTGAGATGATCAAGCAAACCAGCGCCACGCAAGGCATTGGTGACAATGGTGGACCACCCTGCCCAGTCACTTTGATCATTGAGGGGCAAAGGTGGTTTGGGAATCTTCTCTGAAGGAGCCATAACAGCAATCTTGAGACGTTAAGATGTCGAGATGCTGTTACTAATGTCGTTCGTTTGAGGCCGAGAGACGGCTTGAAACGACGATGCCGTTAATTTGAGACCGAGAGACGGTCTTGAAACGACAATGCCGTTAAAATAGAACCCGAAGGTTAGAATGAAACCCGAAGGTTTAAAATAGAACCCGAAGGTTAGAATGAAACCCGAAGGTTTAAAATAGAACCCGAAGGTTAGAATGAAACCCGAAGGTTTAAAATAGAACCCGAAGGTTAGAATGAAACCCGAAGGTTTAAAATAGAACCCGAAGGTTAGAATGAAACCCGAAGGTTTAAAATAGAACCCGAAGGTTAGAATGAAACCCGAAGGTTTAAAATAGAACCCGAAGGTTAGAATGAAACCCGAAGGTTTAAAATAGAACCCGAAGGTTAGAATGAAACCCGAAGGTTTAAAATAGAACCCGAAGGTTAGAATGAAACCCGAAGGTTTAAAATAGAACCCGAAGGTTAGAATGAAACCCGAAGGTTTAAAATAGAACCCGAAGGTTAAACGAGAACGCGAAACGCGTTAAGAGGCCGCAAAACGACAAGGCCAAAATATCTGGCAGATGAACGCCAAATAATTAAAAATAAAAATAAAAAAAATAAAACATTAAACGGCTGCAAAGCAATAAGGCCAAGATTTGGCAAAAGAACGCAAAAGCGTTAAAAATTTTATTGAAAGGGAAATAGCCCTAGCTCTGATACCATGTTAAAGTAAGAGAGAGAGAGAGAATCTTAGGTAAATTTCCCTTGAATTGAATATTGAGTGTGCACATATATTTATACAAGTAGAGGAGTGTGAGGTTTGTTCTCCCAAGCAATGTGGGACTAAAACCCACTACAATACACTATTATCAACAGACATTCCAGTGGAAAGATTCTTTATGTTACGGTATGTAATTTGAAATTCGAATGTGTGTGGGGATGTCATTATTGCACGTAACAGATGTGCTTTAGTTCATGATATTCTGTGTATTTTGATAAGATGCAATAATTCACGATTGAATTGACAGATTTCTCCCTTTAATCCACCACTCAATTAGAAATTAACGGGGAAACTTTATTGCAGATTTTTTTAAAGAGAGATTTCTACACTAATCCTAAGTTTTGTACAGATTCTGTCTTGAAAATTTGATAATAGTTCTTCTGACTAGATTATTGTCGCAAAAGCTTGTTAAGCCAGAATCTAGAAATCCAAGCAGACTTAAAATTCAGCTCTCTGCGAAAATGCATTTACTGGACATTCAAGAGCATAAAAGATGCTCCTATAAGTCAAAAAATAAAGCTCGCTAGAACAAATCAACATCTAAAATTTTCCTGTTATGACAGTTTTGAGGAACACTTTATGAAATTAAAATTGTCTCGGTTAAATAGTCAACGTACTTAATATCTGATTCGAAATCATCATTCGGTCTTTCCGAATCAAATTAAGGGAAAAGTAGTCGGTGCAAGGCTCTTAACAGATGCACAAGGTTTTCAATAACCTAACATCATCTAGGCACAACATAGTTGAACAAGGTTCAAGTTCAAATGCCTTAACTTTTTAGTATTTTACTGCATTTCATCTGGTATTCATGCGCCTATTGTTCATATTTGATATATCGATAAAACTACTCGACAGGCTTTTTGCCTTAATAGTCCAAATTCCTATTGACGATCCATACAAAGACCTGAGCTTCAGGAAAGAACAATTCTTTTATTTAGTCCCCTGAGATCCTAACCTACCATAACTAAAGGAATTTTCAGTGGTACATATTGTTGGCAACAACTAAGTGGAAAAAGCATGTTGACCGCTATCATTCAGCTTCTTCGATACTTATGATTATGCATAAACTAATAACTAATATAGCGCATATTAGGTACACGCAAAGAAAATGACAGAAACACCTCTGATATCAGGACACACACTCCGTTTCACACTTTAAAAAGTAGGGACTACCTAAACAAGTTACTAGAGAATGAAAGTTTGCTCATAAAAAAAACTACTATTAAGTGCTCAAAAAATGGGGAAATCAAAATTCATAAAGCTTCATGCCCACGTTCATCGATCACAAGATAAAGAGATCCTCAATTTTCATGCCCATTATCAACAAAGAAATAACTGAAAATTCTACCTAAAAAGCATTAGGAAAAATTGGAAAAAAAGGGAGTGGAACTGAGATACCTCCATCAAACTAGAACTACTTAGCCAGTCCAAAGCTCTGTGATTTCTGCCCTTGCACCGAACTCTCTGAGAAACAATCGGCATTATTCTCCTATAACTTCCAGACCTTGATCTATCCCTCCTCTTTCATAAATCAACAAAAATTGAATTAAACTCGGAACCAATAATATCTAGACCAAAATATTCAATGCTGACCTCAGAACCAGGACTATGAGAAGGATCAGATAACCGATGAGGGCGAGACCTCACCATCTTCCTAGACCTCCGAGTCGACAAGCTCTCGCTGAATCTTGGTGAAGGAATTTTATTCAATTCCCATAGAGCACTTGCAAGTTTCCTGGCTGACACGGGGCCATTTCGTCGAGATGATTCAAAATTCTTCGAACTGGCCGATGGTGATTTTGGGTTCATCCTCCGTTTAGGAGGAGCAGTGGTGGATGCACCCTTCTCACTGACCATAATAGCTCGCTTAAGCCGATAACTTTGCAGCAGAGAAGATGATGCTGAAGAAGAGGAAGAGACCCTTTTCCTGATCTTGGATGTCCCATATATAAACCTCTCGTCAGTTTGATTTTGCCTTGGCATTATAAGGTTGTAAAATTTTCTGCTGAGAAAGTAACAATGGAAAAAAAAATTGATAAAAAGCTTCGGTGAATTAACAGGAGGAAAAAGGTAAGAAATTGAGCTTACATTACAAGTTAAAAATTGATAAAAAAAAAACACCCAGAAATTTGAACGCAAAACTTTGGACAGAGTGGGTCCTTGAACATTCCCGAGATCTAAATATCTAAACTTTGAGAAGGATCCAAGATGAGAGATCGAACCTGGTCATGGGTCTGCTCAGAAATCTCCCGGTCAAAAGTTAAAAGTGAGCGAATCCCATGAGAGATCTCAGACAACTCGAGGGACGAGAAAGAAGCCGGACGTTCCCACATCTCTTTCTTTCTTCCATTCTTCTCTTTTGCTTTTTTTTTTTTT